ATTTTAGATCGGTGAAGTTACATGCCCATTTTAAGAGTTGCTCGAAATACGGTAAAAGGGGGGGAATTCTGTGAAACATACAACTTTTACCACTCTGAAGATGTGTAAAAGATAGAAAATAAAATCGACCGCTGGTATTTTTAGTTTTCACCACTTTCTAAAACGGAGAGGCATCTTGATTAGTAACTAGAACCTCTAACTTCGATGCAAATCATTAATTAACTATTTTATCCCTTGAGGAAAACATGAAAATGTCAGTAAAGCTAACAGTTATACTGTAAGACACAGGTATAAATATTACATTTCTTTAATAAATAACCTCAGGACGCTCATATGAGAACTTATGTGCGCGACATCACAAATCTAAAATAGCGCAGGTAGCTATGATAGATTATGTATAAACCATATAACATAAAAGTATTCCAGTAACTAAAACTCCAGTGCGATATCTGTATATAAGCTGTTGAGGTGGTTTACTTTATTTAATTTATACAACTACAGACATTTACTATTGAGCTAGTATATTTTTGTATTTAAAAATGAACAGACTGCATGAGAAAGACTTGATAAATATTAAAACAGAGAAGCACTTAACTGTTTCTTCAAGAAATAATGACAGACTAAACACTTTTAGGGGCGATAGTATGAAGCAAACAACTAGGCTTCAAGAAATTTAGAGATGAGACGAATAATTGAGCTTCTTTACTCTACTGATGTTTAACTGAAATATTTAAAGCATAATATATTGACTAGAATACACATCTAGTAAAGACAGCCTAGTCATATGTTATCTGACCCATAAACTTTAGCATGAACTGCAAAAAGCAATTCAGTCCATTAATTACATCCTGACCTTTTGTATAATACACGTGATTAAATTGACATATCAGTTAAAAATATTTTCCACAACCAGAAAACCCATCAGAGAGTTAAAGGCATAAGAGTGTGGAACTTAGTGGATAAAATGATTAAGAAATCCTAACTGTAGATTCATACTTATAACAAGAAAGTGACGTTGCTTAACATTTTTGTTAAACATTATGCAAAAGTACTCAACACAAACATTCGAAACTGGAAATCGTACTTAGAAAACAAGCATCACAAATAAGCGACCAAGTGGATAAAGTAGAATAGATATAATAGATGTATAACGACTAATTATTCATTCATGAACATTGAATTAACAAAGGTACACTAAGGAAATCAAGTATTTAACAACATTTTTAGTTCCTGTGTACTTTCATGTTCCCACACTTCTCCCCTTGATCCTTTATCAAACAATCTGTCAGTAACTTAGAGACAAACCACCTAATTAATATGTGATTCTTTTGGTTTGTATTCTGTTCACGTTTTACAGGAGCCGTGTCTGAACTAATTGCACTCGTGCCTTAATTTGTAACTTCATTCACACAAATCAAATTGACATCTCGCACTATAGTGACGGATAAACCATCAATTTATGTCGAATCTTGCTTTTTATGACCGATATTATGGTCAATAACACTAGTTAAAACCATCAAAAGTAATTGGTTAAAAATACTAGGAGGAAGAAATACTAACATTACCTAAACCATATAAGTGGTAAACTTCTCGCCCTGTTGAATAAATAAAAATGTAGTGTGGGTTTCATTGCTGATATTGAACCAAAGATAAAGAGGACAAACTAGTTAGTGAAACTATGAAGCTCTATCAAATGGAGTGGCTGAAATGTTTGATGCATACCCAACCACCAATGTGTTGTGTTGGATAGCATAAGGGCACATCAAAAGAAATCTGAATATGAGACCAAGATATGGGATCAGTTAAGTAAATCATCAACCTTTGAATCAAACAGTACAGCTAAACTCTGGAATCATTGGTTAAGAACTCAAAGCTTAAAACCAGTCACAGATGCATTTGATTTTAATCTTATTTTAAACATTGAACGTTATATTCTTCTATGCCTGTCACCATACGAAAGCATTCAATTGCTTTCCCCAATGTTGATTCGATCTGGATGTGTTCACGAGAATGAGGGTAACTTGAAGTGGTATTCACTTGCTCAAAGTCCTATTTCGTTTGTTTTCCACAAATTAACCGTAAAATAGACACGAGTGACTAATGTGCTACATCTCTATAACTTCGGTCTGATTGGACTAATTAAAAATACGAATTCTCCAGGTCTTTAAAAAGTAAGACTTATCAAAACAAAGAGGTGAGAAGTTACCGGAAAATGTTTGCAGCTATATATTTAGTTTTCTACAAACTCAGCCATCATTTCGAGAGCTCTAACTAACAAATCTAAAAGCTCTTAAGAAAGAAATATTTTAAGTCTACATTCATAAGCACTGACCACCATGGCATATATTTCACTTGTTCTATTTCGAGAGTCAATATTCTACAAGACAAATGCCTGAATGTCGTAAGGAAAAATTTATACGATCATCAACTCTAAATGGATTACTTTGATATTCCTTTATAACATAATGGAAAGCTATTTGTTACGAAGGCTTCGTATTCAAATCGCATAGTGATTACAATCCAGATTAGCACACATTTAACACCGTTTGGTTTGCGACTAAGTTTTGGTACACATGGTGTCGTTTGATAAAGACACTGACAAAACCCAGTCATCTTTAAGCATTAAGTAACTATGGAAAGATTTTAAAGATGTACTTCGCTCCTCATAGATCGCAATTATCGCTTCAAAACTAGTTTGCGCCAACTAATGATTGAGTATGGGGTGGTTGAGCTAGCCAACTACCTCATCTTGGAAATACTATCAATTGTGATCGGTGTGTCTGACGAAATATCACCACGGATTTCGAAAAGTAGCTCGAATTTTGACGAATTTTATCACGTAAGGTGTAGGCAAGATATCCTTCACTTAATTAATGGTCGAATATACTCCGTAGCAGTTGGGTTTTTTCATGCTGTGACTGCGAAGCAGGTTTTTAAAGTGAAAGCTATTTAATCAGACACCTTTGAAGCAATCCTCGCGTACATCGGGACTGACAAGTGGACAATGATAAGGTTAGAAGCATAGTACTGCGTAAAAACCGCAAACACATTTGAGGTAGTTAGTCTATCAGCTGAAGTGGTTAGGACATGTGCTACTTATGCCCCATCATCTCTTACCTTGACGCACGATATTTACCGGTGTCAGTTGGAAGAAAATTAGGAGCAGCCAGACAAAGACATGGCATCAGTGAGCAACTATTGGATTGGGCAGTAGTGATGAACCCAGACTACTGGTTTAGGGTGGGTGTGAATACCAAAAACAAGAATTGGAGACATCAGATAATATAGTTTAGTATTGTTCGCATTGGTGCATATGTGTTTACTCCTGGTTTTTCCCTTAAAACGTGATTTCTAAAATTAGCTTACACTTTTAATTCTGCAGATTCTTTTGAAATCCCATGTTTTATTCTTAGTCTTTTCTGTTACAAATGATACTGCGACAACTTTTAGTGCCATTTTAATCACATATCTCTGTGGCATTATGGTGTAGCAACTTGAACCTGTGCATATATGTAGCAAATTGTTTTATGACAGACAATCTAAGAACAGTTACACGTTTAAACAAGGCAATTAGAATCGCTAATGATATCTACTTTCACAAAAAGTAGAGAAAATCTTAACGATTAAAGACTAAACTAATATACTCAGCAACTGGTTAGTATACAAAAATAACTATGAACCAACCTATACGTGAGGAACTACATAAAAGTGATAAATTATCAGACGGATTGTTTAAATTATCTACCCAACCGGATTAGCGAATAAAAATTGCGTGAAATTTCGATGAAGATCCAATAGTTAAAATTCATCAAATCACAGCTATAGGAGGTTATCTTTAATCACTGACTTGTTGAGACAAGAGCAAAAATTAAACTGATCTATTGTGTTGGGTCGCATTTTATTTAGCATACCTTTATCAGGCAACAGCATATGACCAATCACAAAGGTATCAGTATTACGACAGTAACGGTAGATTGACAAAAGATATAACTGTTTTATATTAGGTCTGAATTTTGATCTAATCCCAGTATTGTAACGTCTAGATGTGAATGCAAAAGCTAAACAAACATCTTTCTGGATAACCCTTAGTTTAACATAGCATGTCAATCAGACAAGCAGTAGTTACTGGTCGACTCAATATCAATTTATTTGATATAACCATGTACAGCAAACTGACTACAGTGCATCAAGTGGCCAACGAGAAAGACCAATACAAGTGAAAGTAAGGTAACAACGGTGTTACACAGAGGTCACCTTTTTACAGCCAAAACCGGAATTCTCTTTGGTTTTAAACACTACGAGTTTTGGGGACTTTTGCTTTTTCAACAAAACAAGAACATTTGCGGGATACAGTTAACTAATTGTATTTCGTTGCTTTCTGTTCAGCTACATGAAAGTTAATGAGTTTAGTAATTTCTACATAGTAACATGATGTTTCATTCGCAATACTGAGCTAAGCTCAAAAACATGTGTAGCTGGAAAAAGTGAATAACAAAGAATTCATCGTATACTGCATACATTATTCATCTTGCTTTGTTAGAATTTGAGGGGAAGTGCATGATAATTCTATCCTTACAGAACTTTAAAATGATGTAACGTATTATATACGGTTGATATTTTTCCGTACGTAGCCAATTATGATAAACTAACTTGCAGCACCCGGATCTATTCAGTGAAAATTAGCATAAACTATTGTTAGTTATGAAGTGAATATAGTCTCAAGTTTCGTGATAAACTCTTGAAAAATTGAGTGATATCAGTTAGGAATCGAAATGAAAGTCAAATCAAATGAACGTTAGATTTACTGCAAAGCGAGCCCCAACGTTGAGAAATGACGTATAACTATAGTGGCTCAGTAGTGATAGAAATCATAATGGTAGTACTTCAATACCACATTATTAACCAATCTAAAGCTAGTATTAATACAAACATATTTATGTCAGACGGTAACTAAGCCTCTAGTAACAAAAAAGGAAACAAGAACATATATATTTACTTACGGAAGTTAAATCTGATATACTGTGTACCTCCGGACTGAGGTGTGAAGTTTGAGGACTAGTTGCATCAACTGAAGCGCCTTGTTGCCTGAGCATATTAACCCAGTTTGGTCCGGACTTGTCAAAACTCTGGTACTGATGACATCCTGGGTCACCGAAACCTTCATGTGTGCGATGGTGATCTGCAACAACCCCTTCATCAAATTCCTCATCCATATCACCCAATGGTGTAATCATCGAATTGGCAAATTTAAAAAGTCTGATTCAGATGGGTTTACAAAATTTAAGCTGTACAATATCACAATAAATTACAATGAATATCTTTGATTCATGACAAGAAATCACATAAGTTCGTTAGTCAATTGCAATTGAACACGTAAGCTAATTATTATTTTTTTCAATGAGTTTATTTTACCTGACATGATCATTAGTTCATTAGTCACTAAAAAGCAAAACACTAGCACAAAAGCGAAAATACATAAAATAAGAATATCTTATGCAGCTCCCAACCAAACCATTCAAACCCCGCAGCTATCCACCCAAGTGGAGCGCAAACCAATCAAGAAATCGCGAAATCAGTTCAAACTTCAAACCTCTATATAAACAGGAAAAAACATAAACCTGTGAACTACCGACCTGTTAGCATAACTACCGTGGTTTTTAAAATTTTAGAACATATTATTCGGAAGGAGCTGTTCAATTATCTCGATGAAGACCGGATCCTTTAGGAAAACCAGAACGGATTCAGAGTAGGTTATTCCTGTCTCACTAACATTTTAGTGGCTTATGAAAGCTGATGCGCTCTTAAAGACCGAAATTTACGTAATCAAGTAGCCTACATGGACTTCAGCAAAGCTTTTGACAATGTTTCGCACAACCGTCTGGATATCAAATCACTTCTATTCCATCGACATCCATTTGAACCATTTTAACTGGCTGTTACGTAAGTTAAGAAGTGTCGGCAATCTAGTAATATGGTTAAAAGTCTTCCTAGCTAGGCGCCAACAAAAAGTACGGGTGAACTCAAAGTTGTCCAGGTTGGAAACTGTGCTTAGTGGAGTGCCTCAGGGTACAGTTTTGGGGACAGTATTATTGCTATTACACGTAAATGACCTTCCTCGTCTTCTATGCTGACGATATCAAAATATGGAGGGCGATTAGAAGTAAGAGTGATAGTGAAGATGCCACAGGTATAACCAACAACACACACTGCGAATGGTGCCCACCTAATGCAATGAAAAGTCAGAACCGAGGAGGTTAGAAGATATATTCTGATAGGCTATCAATATATCGAGAATCGACTGATCTAAACTGGCTATCGACTACAGGGGAAGTTGAGCACGGAGTTCCCACTCGGGATTTGGTGCGAAGGCATGATCAAGCAACTTCAGGTAGCTGAGTCCATTTACGTATAAGCATATAGAAATTGGTTGTTTTTTATACAATATATAATACAAAGAAAAATCGAGATGAAACAAAATGCTAATCACTGTCGTATGTGCAATAATTCTTTAAAAGTTCTCGAGACCTTACTATTCTTTCAGAACGCGTTGTTTTGGGTTTGTTTTCAGATACTTTCAGAGTATCATCGTGAGTGCGTTTGTAAGCCTGCTCGTGTATGAGTTTAGATCCATATTCACTGAAGACCTGAATGAGAAAGTTTGAGCAACGTATCAAAGACGTTGCGTCGATAATTTTTCGACACGATTTAGCGATCCTTACCTGTAGATGTGCCATATAGGAAGGTTTCCTTACCTGTTCCCATCTGTTTAATAAGCAATTTAAAAGTTGTTGAAGGTGCAGTAAAACACAATACATAGCTAGGAGTTCCCTACCGAATGTGCTATACCTCGATTCATTAACTACCAACCGTCTCGAGAAGAGTGCCGAAGTTTTCCGGGTTTAGTTAGCCCATTATTGTAAGACTTGTCAGATTGCTGAGTCGGATGCGTCTATTGCGATACTAATGAGTGCTTGAGTGTCGTGATGTGCAAGCATCGATGCTTTCGAGATACTTCCCTTAATTATGGAGAATGCTTTTCTCGCGGTATCGTCTAAACGTATGGATTTCGCACTTTTACGAAGTTTTTCGGTTAGAGGTTTGATAAGTGACGCGCAGTTTGGTATGAACCGTCTGTAGGAACTTTCAAGGCGTGTGCGACTGCTTAACTGTGGTCGGTTCTGGGTAATCCAGAATGTCTGAATATGAGACTCTCTGTCGGGACTTGCTATCAAGTAGTCATCAGCGTACGTGTGTACGAATATTTGGCCGTCATCTATGAACCTTTGGAAGGTCTAGGCACTATTTCTTAAACCGAAAGATATGCACTTAAACTCGTAGAAGCCGAAAAGTGTGATAGTAGTGGTTTTAGGAATGTCGTCAGCAGCCATAGAAATTTGGTTATGGGATTTAACCAAGTGGATTTGTAGAACGATGGTCTACTTCGTTATTAGCACTGCTCTAATAACAGACTTAATCCTAAAATCATAGATTTGTCATGATGTAACTGCCAAGTCTATAAGTCCTTACGTGGAAGTCAATGTCTACACTGACACATAGTATATTGACAATTACCAATATATTACGGAGAACATATTCAGGCTGGAGATAGAACAATATATTTAATGTGAGTAAAAGCAAGTTGTACAGAGCGACCACGCCTGCGAGGTTGAACCATGCCATCTGATCAGTTTGAATTAATTCAATTCATTGTTCCCGCCTTGTTCATCATCGCGTTTTTTCTGCATTAAATGTTAAATATTTATTTTCTCAGTTGTATCGTGTCCAGTTTTGAGGATTTTCGAAACAACATTGAACCTTTCAAGGTAGTTGTCAAATCGTGAATGTGAGGCAACGCGTAACGATCGAGATTGGTTTTTGCATTCAATCGCCGATAGTCACCAGTTGGGTGCCAGTTGTTGTTGTTGTACATTTTAGGGACCATATGCAATGAAGATGCCCATGGGCTGTTTGACGGTCTTTTGATACCTAAATCTATCATGTGGTCGAATTCATTTTTAGCCAAGCCCAGATTTTGTGAGCTAGTCAGCGCGCTTTCGAGAATATAGGCGGTCCTGTAGTCGTGATGTGATGTGTAACATTGCTGGTTGCAAATCAAAGGTAACGTGTCGGTGTATGACATAGTTCCGTGATGTCATTCTGTGTCGCTTGAGGCTTTTATTTGTCGGTGTTAAAAGACTTGACGATCTCTAAACTGAGATCCGCAGATGCAGATGATAAGTCTTGCTACTTGAAAGCTATATTCGGTTCCTAACCTCTTTTAGTAATCCCCTAGCTAGAACTACACAGCGACCTGAACACGAGAGAAGAGGCACAAAATATGCTAGAACCACTTTACTTCTAAGGTTCGTTCTTGTACAAAAAAACACACGGGTATTTATAGATATTAGCGTTTGTTAAATCAACATTATATTTTGGCCAATCCGCTGGAAGACGTATTATGCTGCTAACCAATAGTAGCATGCCATGTTGATATCCTGGGAAGCTCCATCATGTTCTGATTTGCTGGAACTCTTCGGCTATTATAGGGCCTTTAGAGACTCCGTTGTGGTTCTCAGAATCCGACTCAACAGCAGCCAGCTCGTCTACAGCATTGTTTTGAAACGAGACCAGCACAGATTACACTAATTGAGGAAGATTAGATAGTATTTGTCTAACTAGGCCATCATCAAAAGTTCTTTGGCCAATCACCTCTCTGATCATTAACAAAAAGTCTGTAGCTAAACCGTGTTGCGGATCGATATTATTATAGATGGGTTAGGTCTCCGCGTTTAAGAATAGAACGTTCAAGATTTTTTTAAGGTTCCGAGACATCACTAGTAAACATACTATGTGACGAACGTGTTAAACTCGAGCGCTCGTTCCTTGAATACTGCGAGGAATCGTGCACGTGTGTCGTTCAGAACGTTCTCATATAAGTTTGCCTCCGCGTAGTAGAACCAGGCTTCAATGTTGTCTGGCCAAAAGGGCATTAGTTGAAATGAAGGTAGAGTCATAGTCTTTGACTTAAGTACCTTATGTGTCTTTTCCGTCATGGCGAAATATCAAGTACAAGAATGAACGAGGAGACAAAAGTTTCCAAAAACACGAAAAAAATATCACAATGAAAACGCTTTAACCAGTAACACCTGCTATGAATCATACCCACCTAGTAAAATCGAAAGTCAGAAGCGAGGAGGTGTGAAGGTATATCATGATAGGCTATCAAATGACATGGAGAAATTATCTGAATGGTCTCAAGCTTGGAAGTTGCCGCTAAACACTTCCAAATGTATTGTGATGCATGTCGGTCATCAAGGTACAATTACACACCTGATGAACAACACTGAGCGACCTGATGTCCAGACCCACAATAACTTCAAAGTCATCGTTAGCCAAGACTTTAAAACTGCTACATAATGCCGTGAAATAGAAAAAGGACCTGTATGATGCTCAACTGGTTAAGCTAATCATACTCCCATTGTCATATGGAAGATGCAAAGGTGACTTGATTACAGTGTTCGCATTTATTTTTGATAAATTAGCACCTGATTTGGAAGGCAGAAAATTCGCCAGGACACTCCAAAAATATTTACAAGCCCGGAACAATTTACATTGCTGGTGCTCATCGATCGTCCCATCGAATCATCAACGAACTTGTAGCCCTAAACGAAACCCTGAAATCGATAGTTCTGTAAGTCCTTGACATTGTATGCTGAGTACTTTAGTTTTAATGGACTCATCTCGCCAAAGGTGCTCGGTCGTGCTTCCTCACCAGACCACGTGTGAGTACTCTGTGCTCAACTACTCCTAGAACTGCTAGATAGCTTAGATCAGTCACTTCTTGATATTCTAGTATTCTGTCAAATATATCTTTGAGTCTGTTCGCTTCTAATTTCGCTTGATTGTCACGTTTCAATTATGAAAGTTGTTAATCGTTAAGGTGTTGTCAAACTCATAATACTTGTGAAACACGTAATTCAAGCCCCATCTGTCGATGCCTTCAAAGGAAAATTGAGCTAACTGAGAGACCACCACTGTCAGGAATAACGCAGACCGTCTCGCCTCCTGCCTCTCTCAAAATGAAACCGATTGTAGAGCAAAGCATCATGTGTAGGTTACAGAATATATGGAAATCAAAAGCGATAAACGGATATGTTCTCAGTATTCTGGATGAACAGTAAGTGCGTATGAACAAACGAAAAATTGCATAAGTTTGTCAATCCATGTGTACATCATAATCATACTGACTTTGTTTATTTAATTAATAAAAATTGACTACCATGACAACAGACTCGATCTCAATAACAAAAGTTGGCGTCGCTACGTCAAGTTCAGGGAATACTACTATCCTTTGCCAACGTCCAATGGGTGAAAATAGGAAGTCGCTGAATGATACATGTGCAAAAAATTGCGAAATGAGTAGCAGTTCTACGGGTATAAAACTTGGATCTCAAACATCAGATTACTATCGAACAGATAAAAGATTGCCATATCGCTTTAACAATCCTGGTAGATAATAACTAATACTTATATCTGTCAGATAAGTTTGGGGGTTATGATGGCCCGAAATTAAACCCACTGTATAGAACGACAAATTCAGAATATGGTAGGCTTAAACCAAACGTACATACGATGAATGTCGTCTATTACAACAAAAATCAGGAATTTTCCAAGGTATTCCACATAACTTTTATGCTGATTTTTAGCGTTACATGAAAGCTGGCAATTACAGGAATCACTCCTTGAACACTGCAATCGATCATAAATATTCATAATATTATGAATATATATGTTCATAATAATTACTATTCCACTGATTCAGAAAGCCAAGATAAACCATAAGATGTGGCCTAATGTGTTGGGCTTATTTCAGTTATCAACCCTTTGCGTATATTGTTACCTACGAAAAGTGTATGTATTCTACTCAAAATACAATTCATTTGTGAATTCATGATTTAGATGTTCTTATTAGTCTTGTAGTTTAGCTAACTGGCTCAAGATTCAAGGTTTAAAGCAACATATGCGAAGTTACTGTAAGAATACTGAAAGTGATCCTACGACCGAGGTGGAAGATTGATACCTCCCAAGCTGCCAACTTTGGGGAAAATTTGGTCCATTTTGGGGGAATTTTGGGGAAGCCGCTATAGTAAATTTTGGGGAATCGAGACGCAAACCCCAAAATTTCCTCAGACCTGGGGAAATCTACCAAATCTCCCCAAACATTGGGGAAGCTTCCCCAAAATTCCCCCAAGGCTGGCAGCTTGGGCTGCGTACTAAGATACCCATTTATCAAGACAAAAGTAGACAACATTTAATAAGGTCATCGTTGGCTGTACGCAGATTTGTACAGTGAGTAAACTAGCAGTGTCTTTCGAAACTTGCATCTCATAAAATATATGAAGCATATATGCCAAACACTAAGGGCAAATTTCTTGACCGTCTCCTCAAAGGAATGGATAGTCAATGAGGAATTTTTCGTTGCTATTGCTTGGTAGGTCTTATAAACATGGGTCACCAAACCGTACGTATCGTAGGTAATATTGTGTAGCATCCTACCAAGGCTCTGTGAAGACATCTGAATCATTCTTTGTAAAGTAAAACAAATATTTGGGAAAAGTTGGAGTTTATAAGGACTGACCAAACTAAGTCTCATTATTCAAAAACTAAGAATTTCCAAAGAAATCTTTAGAAGAACGTATGTCAAAACTTACTAGTTACTATACAGAATGAACGAAATGTCTGTTTTTGTATAAACGAGACAAAGCCCTGTGATATCCTTGGATTGCATGGAGATAGTTTTACTTTCTATCTAGTGACAAAACCCAATGTTATCTTGTATTCAAGACAGATATGGTCTTGAGAATTGTTACTCAATTTTTAACCAAAGCAGGAACAATCAATATAGTAGAATAATATGAACTCATTTTATTATGTGGTTTCTCACCAGCTGCTTACAATCTAGGCATAATAGCATCAATCTTTAAAAGTCAGTGTACATACTTTATATTGTAACATGGGAAGAGTTTCCATCGATCTTGATTGATGGAAAGGGTCACAAGTATGAAAGAACAATAGAGAATTTTCATTTGTTAATCGATGTGAGTATTTATAGGTTGAATGTGAGAATATTCTGGAATAAACAACTAAAGAACGAAACCACTTGTAAATAATATTAATGCTAGTTATGTAACCTTTGAAGAAATTATTGTTGTTAATATACTAACATATACATTATAATAAGTATGTACTAAAACATATGGTTAGTATATTATTTCCAAGTGGTTTTGTTTTTTAGTTGTTTATTCAGGAATATTCTCACATTCAACCTATAAATACTCACATCGATTAACAAATGAAAATTCTCTATTGTTCTTTCATACTTGTGACCCTTTCCATCAATCAAGATCGATGGAGACTCTTCCCATGTTACGATATAAAGTATGTACACTGACTTTTAAAGATTGATGCTATTATGCCTAGATTGTAAGCAGCTGGTGAGAAACCACATAATAAAATGAGTTTGTGCTACTCTGGTTCATTAACTGTTCTTTCTTTATTCAAATTTATCAATGGAAAAAGTCATATGAGAGGTTTTTCAGTAGGTTTCATTAGAAAAATTGTCAATGTTTAAGATATTATTATCAAGGAATTATTCAGACGTATGTATTAAAACTTGATACAGTAGTTTCTACAGGTTTTAGAAAAGTTTTTTAAATATATGGCGCATTCAGTCACCGGAAAATTGATATATTCATGAAAATTTACGCAGTATTTGTTCACTTGAAACTTCTGTAGTGAGTACAGTCAACCAACCATGGCATGAAAAGATTACTGGCCTTTAAAGTTGTTTTGTGGAACTTCGGCTATACCGATTTATTGGATCTCAATGTCAACGTACGATGAAGGATTAACTAGATCAAACTTGTCCGTCTCATCACACAAAAGAATCCGAGGTGACTCGGTCAGCCTTTGAATTACTTAATAACGATTTGCTATGCCCTCACTGTTTGCTTTCCAGAACAGAGGATGTACAAAGACGGCTTAAATAAGTTCACAAGCTTAGGACAGACAACTTGACAGCTGACTACTGATTGTTTTCTACAGAATCACCAACATGTGGATTTCTTTAACCTAAAGCGTGCTTACGCGTACTTCTGTAAACCTATTCAACCGGAAAACTCAAACCGCCAAGACTAACACAGGCCTACCAACCTTTTGACCTGATCAAACTGAGACTGAATTTAAAATTTTGGCAACTTCTAAAGTTTTGAAAATACGTATGCAATCTAACTAGCTTTAGCTGAGTGTCAACTGAAGGACAATCAATATGTTTGGTGTCCATATACAGCTTTCATAGGCGTATGAGAAAATGACTGGAATAATTGAGGTATTACGAGTTATTAGAATAAAATTTTTATTTATCCATTGCACCACAGACATAAAACTGGTTGTCTTTTATATTTTTTTAGTATTAGATTCTCAATCTGACGTCGTCATTTATCAATCAACCACTCGTGATTGTCCATGTATTCATGAAGTTAGATGAATGAAATAGTTCTACAAGTTTTAGGTAACCTTATTTAGTGTTGAAAATTTAGCAACTAGATAAAATAAGACTACAAATTTATCTTAAGGTCACTAGTGTTATACTGGAGCAAGACCAATCTTCATAAAATTGGTCAAAATGTGTAAAATAAAATAAAAACTGCATGTGTGCCACCTCGAACTTCTTGCAAGATTGACTTATAATCCTAGTGACCATCTAGACAGAATACTGGACCAAACCGCGCTACGATTTATGGATTTCGACAAATAAGTTGACAATGTTTCCAAAAAACTGAGATGGTCACTTTGGAGTGACTGTTATTTTGGGCCACCACAAGATTATGAATAATTATTGAATAAATAAAGAGCTTGAAAGTGTGTAGCAGCCTAATGCCAAAGTGAGCTTATACTAGCTTCCCGACGAACTTTAGTAACTCAAATAAAATGTGAATCTTTTTTAATTTTCTAATAACTCTATTATCTTCACAGTCAATTATGACTTTCCTTGCATGTACCTCTTTTGTTTATGTTCTTACAATTTCAAACCTAGACGTCTAATGTGGTTGTACATGTATTTGTGCATCGGTATATTGTCTAGCGAGTCTCATCGCTTGCACAATTCTGTGTCTATTTTAGACTATATTAATCCTTGTCATGAACAATATATGTAGTAAATGCCTTACAGGAAATGTATATATTCTGGCTGCCATCTTTACTGGGATACGTCTGGATGATAATTAGTTTGTCTTCGTCACTCACTATACTTATCGCCGATTCTGTTCACTATAGTAAAACCTTCACACTCTCGTAGCAAAAAAATACTGTTAGGTGAACAGTTAAGTCTATCATGAACATTCTGTGGCGCCGGTACTAAAAGACTATGATCTAGCATTCCTTCCACTTGATTCTTATTTACACATGTGCAAACTCCTGTTTGTCTTTGAAGTCATCATGTTAACAACAAATGAATTCATGATAAACCGCGAAATGTTCACTGGTTTAACATCTCACACAGAAATGCTAATTAACTACCACTAGCTTCAACCTCTATAATCAGCAATAACTGAACAACCAGCAGTCGTGAGTTTATGCAACTACCTGAGAACTGATAATCAACACCTTTATGCATATACTACTACAATGGTATGCCTTGGTGATTCAACTATTCATAACACACTCATAGTACTACACATTCTCACTCCTAAAAATTTCCTTTGTTCACTTCAAATAAGAAGTAAAAATACTGCGTAAATAAAGAGCAGGACTAAATTGTGATTAGAACAAATAGACATTACTAACACGCTGCTATGGTGACACCAATGTGTATAAAAATTATAAAAAAATACTGAAAAAAAATGTTTGATAAATGCTCATCGAGTATATAAAAACTAATTTACTGAATAATAACCCTAATTGTTACACATTTCTCGAGATAATTAAAGTAACCCATTGTATCACAGAATAAAAATAAAGCGAGTCTAGCGGCAACTCCGCCTGGAGTTCCTCCGGGGGCTACTGCCAGTCCAAAACCCAGATAAAGAGGGGGGGTTCGGCATGGGGTTAGCAACCCCATTCCGTAGAAAACTAACTCGCTAAAAAACGCTAACCAGAAATAATTATTCAAACCTTTTAAACTCTGCCCTGGGAGTCAGAAGGTCTTCATTTAGAAGAACTATGACGCCTCATGATGAAAGCCGAATTCCTTCGGACGTTACGAAGCCGATGCCCGTTCAGACAACCAGAGCGACCATTTATTTAGGTACATGGAATGTTCGTACAATGTGGGACACCGGGAGAGCCCTCCAAATTGCTGCAGAAATGAGGAGATACAACCCAGAGGTGCTTGGGATCAGTGAAACACATTGGACGCAAGTTGGACAACAACGACTAACTTCAGGAGAGCTTCTGTTATACCCCGGCCATGAAGAAGAAAATGCCCCACATACACAAGGAGTTGCACTGATGCTGTCCAAAACAAGCACAAAATGCACTTGTAGGATGGGAATTTCATGGACCAAGGATTATCAAATCCTCCTTCAAAACAAAGAAAGAGGGCATTTCAATGAACATCATCCAATGCTATGCGTCTACCAACGATTACAATGAAGACGCTAAAGATCAATTCTACGATAGACTGCAGTCAATCATTGCGAAGTGCCCAACAAAGGACCTGACCGTTCTGATGGGAGACTTCAATGCCAAGGTTGGAACGGACAACACTGGACATGAAGACATCATGGGACGACAAGGACTGGGAGAAAGGAACGAAAGTGATGAGAGATTCGCAAACCTATGTGCCTTCAATAAACTGGTCATAAGCAGCACAATATTCCCACACGAACGCATTCACAAAACCACATGGACTTCACTGGATCACACCACGCAAAACCAAATCGACCATATTTGCAC